CTTAACAATGTGTGATTCCGATTTTGTCCCTACCGTACTTATGGTAAGTAATTTCATAACAAAAATTATCCTCTCTATAATAAATAGTCATATATCTCATTTCCATTATTATTTCTTTAATACATTTATTCTTATTTTTTATGTCTATAAAAATTGATCAAAGATAATATAATACAAACATATACTAGGTAACCAAATGTGGTCGTTAAATAGTGACTTATGTTATCATAATAATTAATTATGATATTAAATAGTTAACTATGCAATTTTATATAAACAATTGACTATATAAACAGTTTTTCGAATGTATAATTAACTATTAAGAAAACAGTTTTTAGATAAATAGTTACCTATGCAATTTAAATAGTTAATTATTTATCTGAAAACTATTTTCTTAATAGTTAACTATACATCCGAAAATATTGTTTATATAAATAATTAACTATGCAACTTAAATAGTTAACTATGCAACCAACTATTTTTAAATGTATAGTTAACTATTAAGAACATTACAATTAGTCTATTATTTCCAGAACAATGTGAACGTACAATAATTCAATTATTTTTAAACAGTTGACTAAATTACAAGAATTTAGAAATAATATATTGTGTGTATGTTTGAATCATTCCTCTCTTTTTCTATAATGTCAGTTTTTTCTTAAAGCATATTTATGAGGAAAGAGAACAATTAATAATTACATAGGTAAAATAGTCAACTTTTATTTTCTCTCAACTATAAACCTAAATTTAATTATACATATGTTATTTTTTTAATTATGTACCATAAATGTAATATTAACCTAATTAACCCTTAAACAAATTGCATAAGTTGTTCATCTTTCTCCATGTACTTGGTCTCTTACCAATCCAGATTCATCTATTTAGATAATGATGATACTACTCTCTAATCCTAATAAAAAAAAATTATAAAATCTCCTAAAATTCCATTATAAATAAGCTTCATCAATGTTGCTCCATATCTACACTTGACTCACCTAAAAAACTTTATTCACTTTTGCAACTATCTAATATTTCTCCTGGTTCGATTTCATTCCTCTAAGTCACACCGTTTTTAAACAGACTCAAATGTATATTATTAACCTAACCTAACTAATCTCTTGTGATCTGTTTGCAGAAGATACCTAGCTATGTCGGCGAGAGCTCACCCTGTGGACGGAGATGTAAGTCCGACGACGGACGGTGGAGATCTTCCGATCAAATCGTTGTCTTACCGGCATAAAGTCGGGGTCCCACCGAAGCCAAACATGTTCCATGATTTCATGTATACATTCAAAGAAACTTTCTTCCACGATGATCCTCTTAGACATTTTAAAGATCAACCTAAGTCCAAGCAGTTCATGCTCGGTCTCCAATCCGTCTTCCCGGTCTTCGATTGGGGACGGAACTATACTCTTAAGAAATTTCGAGGCGATCTCATCGCCGGTTTAACCATCGCTAGTCTCTGCATTCCTCAGGTTAATTAAAGACCTAATATTTTTACTTGTATCACAAGTTATCTATCCTTTGCTCTGTTTCTTATGTATGTTTCTTGATGATTCTAGGATATTGGATATGCTAAGCTTGCGAATCTTGATCCGAAATATGGTTTATGTAAGCTTGATTTCGACTTAATCCTAATTTGGGAAACAGGGGATAGATAAATCATAGATTCAAAATGGTTGATTTTGATTTTGATACACAGATTCGAGTTTTGTTCCTCCATTGGTGTATGCTTGTATGGGGAGTTCGAGGGATATAGCGATCGGACCAGTCGCTGTGGTTTCTCTGCTGCTAGGTACTCTGCTTCGAGCTGAGATCGATCCAAACACAAATCCTGAAGAATATCTCCGTCTTGCCTTCACAGCCACGTTTTTCGCCGGTCTCACTGAAGCAGCCCTAGGACTCTTTAGGTAAAAGTTGATCTCTCTTGTTCATCGAAAATTCTTTCTTCTTTGATGATCAAGAAAGCTCAAAAAGTTTTATGAATTTGTAATCAGATTAGGGTTCTTGATCGATTTTCTTTCCCACGCGGCTGTGGTTGGCTTCATGGGCGGTGCAGCCATTACTATAGCTCTTCAGCAGCTTAAAGGCTTCCTCGGGATCAAGAAATTCACCAAGAAAACCGATATCATCGCTGTTCTTGATTCGGTCTTTAGCTCTGCTCATCACGGCGTAAGAATCCTTCTTTTGTTTTCTTGATTCCTCCATTGTGTGAATCCTTTCACGAATTTGTGAAAATTTGGTTGTGCAGTGGAATTGGCAGACTATACTCATCGGTGCATCCTTCTTGACCTTCCTTCTCATCTCTAAGTTCATCGTAAGACATACATATTATCGAAACATCGAATAGTTTTACTCTTTGTGTGTTTTGATCTAATTCTGATCTCTCTTGGCTTGATCATGGAACAGGGGAAGAAGAGCAAGAAACTATTTTGGATTCCAGCGATCGCGCCATTGTTATCCGTTATCATTTCAACCTTCTTTGTCTATATAACCCGAGCCGACAAACAAGGAGTTCAAATCGTAAGAACTAAACCTATTCCAATTAGTTACTTGTGCCTAAAGCGATTGTACATTGTGTTAAGGGTCTAATTACTTTTTTGGTGAACTAAAAGGTGAAACATCTTGACGACGGCATCAATCCTTCCTCTTTTCATAAAATCTACTTCTCCGGCGATTACCTCGTTAAAGGCATCCGTATCGGTGTAGTAGCAGGCATGGTCGCCTTAACAGTAAGTCCAAATCAATGATTAAGACAGCTTCGATCTCAAAACCAATTGGTTATAAGCGCAACTTCCTCATCGAAACTCGAATATTTTAATCTGTTTTCACAGGAAGCTGTAGCGATTGGAAGAACGTTTGCTGCAATGAAAGACTACCAAATCGATGGTAACAAAGAGATGGTAGCATTAGGAGTCATGAACGTGATCGGTTCGATGACCTCTTGCTATGTAGCGACCGGCTCGTTCTCAAGATCAGCTGTAAACTTCATGGCTGGATGTCAAACCGCGGTTTCGAACATTATAATGTCAATCGTCGTTTGCTTGACATTGCTCTTCCTAACTCCTCTCTTTAAGTACACTCCAAACGCGATCCTCGCAGCTATCATCATCAACGCGGTGATTCCTTTGATCGATATCCAAGCTGTGATTTTGATCTTTAAAGTCGATAAGCTCGATTTTATCGCTTGTATGGGAGCTTTCTTTGGTGTCATCTTTGTTTCCGTTGAGATTGGACTTCTTATTGCCGTAAGTCTCCAGAAATTAAAACTCTATACATGTGTAATCATGATGAATCTAATTCTCTTTCAATCTTTTATTTATTGCTGATGTATGTGTGTTTGTTTTGTGAACAGGTCTCTATATCGTTTGCTAAGATTCTCTTGCAAGTAACAAGACCTAGAACCGCGGTTCTGGGAAATATCCCCAGAACTTCGGTTTACCGGAATATTCAACAGTATCCTGAAGCCACTATGATTCCAGGCATACTCACTATTCGTGTTGACTCCGCGATTTACTTCTCCAACTCAAATTACGTTAGAGAAAGGTAAGACCCTAAACAACAGTTTAATCTTAAACCAAGAACCGTTACTTGGTTTACAAGAAACCTAATTCGAGAACCTTTAACTTTGTAGGATCCAACGATGGTTACTAGAAGAAGAAGAGAAAGTAAAAGCAGCAAGCCTACCAAGGATTCAGTTTCTAATCATCGAAATGTCACGTAAGTAACATTATACTACCTATATATAATCCCTTTCTTAATCATCTCTATAAGACTATAATTGTTTCTCATTATAAACAAACAATATTTTTTTCAGCTGTTACGGACATTGATACTAGTGGTATCCACGCTTTAGAAGACTTATACAAATCTCTCCAAAAAAGAGACATTCAGGTACAACATATATTTATACATAATAAATTCAAGAACTCAATCTAATAAGCAATCAAAAGTGAAATAGTTGAAGAAAGAATTACCTTTTTGGAGAGAGTTATATGAAACTTGACTATGTTTTTGTGTGTTCATAAACAGCTGATTCTAGCGAATCCTGGACCGTTGGTGATAGGAAAGCTACACTTGTCGCACTTCGCCGACATGTTAGGACATGATAACATCTTTCTTACGGTGGCTGATGCCGTCGAATCTTGCTGTCCAAAACTCTCGGACGAGGTCTGAAATTAC